GGGGAGATACTCATAGTCGTGCATGCCGTAGTCGTTAGACCATTGACCTTGCATCCCTACAAAGCCGGGACGGAGCACGCCGGGTTCTCACCGGACCAGGCTCTCACATCACCAAGCGCGAAGCGCCGTGAGGTATTTGGCGAGTCGCATGAAGGGTGCGTTGCACCTTGCTGAGGGTGTTCGGCATCTTGTGCCTACGTCTTGCGTACGGATGACAGCTGCGCTGACTTCATTTATTGTCTGGTGCTTTCACTTCCAGAGACAGTTGTACGCACGGTGTAACTGCCTCGAGGGTGCTTGATCAATGTAAGACAACGTGGTGCGATCCTCCCCCTTTGCGCGGAATGAGGGTTCTCGACCCCGCAAATGATCTACTCGACCACCATTCATGGTTACCGCGAAAGGTAACAATACCAAAGGCAAAAAAGTAACGGTAACCTGGTTGCCGAGCGCACGAAGTGATCGGCTTGCTTCACAACATCGCTGCCTAGCGACAAAAACCCAACCCCGATGGCAATGGTTAACAAGGGGGGGGTCTTTTTCCGTGTACCCCGGGGTGGGGGAGGACAGAACAACGGCCATACATGTACAGACTCTGTGTTCCCGCAATGGACAAACTTTTCGAGCAAGCGTTCCACGGATGACGGGTGTCGTCCCAACCACGGTGAGATACCATATACTGGTGGTACTGTTGTGGCGTCAAACGCGTTGTCATGGTCAATATATTCATGAAAATCGTCCGGAAGAAATATACTGGAGGGATCTCAGCCGAAAGACTAAACAGTACACTCAACCCCAGGCGTACGTTGAAAATTGGGAAAGGTTTGTTAGTATTAGAAAGACAATCACCCCGGGGGATACAATATTTTTGACAGTTTATTAACCGATTTGGCGGGGGGACCGTCGATTGCGGTGCGTGGAGCCCGGACCACTCAGACCTTGCACACGACTTACCAACCGGTCGGGTTTGTTGCCTAGAGTATATTCGCAATCAGCGGCCTCTTTCTGTTCCTATCACATTCCAGGGCAAAAGGAGGCCGAGCCTCGGTACGTTCGGTCACTGGCTATCACCGAGAAGGCCCTAGGTCCTGACCACCCGGCCGTCGCTACTGCCCTCGATAAGAGGGCGTCGTTTTTGAATAGCCATCATCGTTGTCGACTAGTGATTTTGCGCACTCGTTAACATCGTTAGATCATAGCAAAGCTGCTCTTTGAGCAGTCACATGTTGCTTGTTGGAGACAGAGGCCACTACCGGGCAGGGTTGATGTGTATAGATTCTGCGTTACTAAATGATTTTTGTTCTTTCCATTACCGTCACACATACGGGCACGTATGAGGAGGCCAAGCCTCTGCTCATCCGCTCGCTGGCCATCAGTGTGAACGTTTCACCAACTCTCTGATTCATTGACATGGCAACTAGGCGGAACTGCTGTACAATAGGGCACAGGAGATCTTGGAAAAGTTGTTGGGGCGGGAGCATCCCAATATTGTTATTGTTTTGAACAACCGGGCGATGATGTTGTGGAATCAGGTGAGGGGCCATGGGAATTTCCTGAAACACTGTAGGGACACCCATTTCTCGCAAAGCATCTCAGGAACCGGGTGGGGTTGTTGATCAATATTTCCCCACATTGAGCCATTCAAACCTTGAACACATGCTCATCCTGTTGTCCGCTCACGTTGTAGAGCAAGTTCGGCGAGGCGGACCCATTGTACGTGAGAGCTATCGCTGTTGGAGAGAAAACGCTGGGTCCCGAGCACCCAAATCTTGCCGCGTGGCTCAACAACCGGGCGGCGTTGTTGTACAAGCAGGTGAGAGTCATTCGAACGTTCCAGGGGTTCTCTTGAAGGCCATGTTTAGGGATGAATCGTTTTAGTTCCTGGTGGACCGCTCACTCACAGAGTCGCACTGCTTGGTGGGATGCAAGGCATAGTCTATAAGGCGACGCCAAGTCGCTCTATGAGCGGTCACAATGCATGCGAGACAAGGATTTTGGTCTGGAGCATCCCAATGTGGCCCACACGCTTAGTAACCGGCTGGGGATGTTTTACAAGCAGGTGAAGCCATTCGAAGTGTCCAGGAAGTCTCATGAAGCCGTGCATCCGGAAAATCCAAATGTGTATATTTCTAGGATCGATATTTGGCCGGTGAAGAATTTGCGTTCATAATTGACCACTCCGTAATACCAACGCTCTGATTCTTTGACAGGGCAAGTACGACGAAGCGGAACCGCTGTACAAGAGGACGCAGGAGATCTGGGAGAATTCGGGAGCATTCAAACATTGCCATAATTTTGAACAACCGGGCGAGGTTGTTAGGGAATCAGGTGAGGGTCATAGGAATTTTCCTTAGAACCGATTTTACGTTATTGGTGGACTCCATCCTTGACATCATCGTTTGCAATTAGGGAAAATTTAAAGAGACTTGCCCTCCCTATCTGCGAGCTATTTAGTGCGATTGGGGAGAAGGCGTTTGGCCCCGACAGCCATTTTCTCGCATCGCAGCGCAGCACCCGGTGAGGTTGTTGAGCAATATTTTCTCGGCGTTGAGCTAGTCACACCTTGCACACATGTACCCTTCCCCCTCGGCCTGCTCCCCGGCCGGGGCCGAAATCGACCTAGTGAGTCCCTCGCGGGCGAACCAGGCCACAACAGATAGTAGGCGGGTGGTGTCCCAAGGTGCAAATCACCGCCGAGACGGTGGTAGTGGCGAGAGGTGTGTATGGACACTGTTCCCGCGGCAGTAATGCAAAGCGGCAAACTGCACCTGGCAACCACCGTCGCGGAAAGCGTGGCCCACGAAGCTGGAGGAGTAGAGATTCGTGAACACCACGTCAGTAAGCATCGCTCGCGGGAGAAGGGAGACAACCGCGGGCACCGCGGGGAGGGAGTGCTGCACCCTCCTCGTCAAACCACCACAGGCAAGAACCGAGCTCTGCAGAGATGGATTGATGCGAGGAAACTCGCCGCTCAGAAAATACGGAAGAAGGCACACACGCAACGCGAGGCGGACCGAGGGAGACACGAGACCGCAGCGGCCGTCAAGGCGGCTGCGAAGAAGAAGGCACGGGAGTGCGACCTATCGTTCGGCACGTTCAACGTACGCACGCTCGCCTACAGCGGTAGGACCCCATCGATCACAACGTGATGACGGTCATGCAGATTTGTTCCGCGACCGGCTGTGATGTGA